ACAGGAGTCTCGTGTATTAGAATTTTTTTTATTCTCGCAACATAAGAAACTAAAGATTTGGGTATTTTCACTATAAGAACATAAGAACTTTTCAAAGCTCCGGTAAGTGTTTGATTTGGGTTGCTGTGATAGATACTGATGGCATTGGCTGCATCACACAAAGCCCACCATGCAGATGTTAGCCAACATATTGCCAAGTGTGATGCTAGGAGGCTCTATCAAACAGGGGAGGGAAGATCAGGTGCTGTTGATGAATCTGTTGTGCTAGAAATTCTCAGCAAGAGGAGCATTTCACAGCTCAAGCAGACATTTTCTTGTTATAAGCTTATCTATGGGCATAACTATACAAAGGTAAGGCTTTTGAGTATTTCAAATTATAAGCACAGCAATCTAGTTGCAAGTATGAACATTCTCAATGGGATATTGTAGTTAGAATGAATTGAAATTCAAATCACTGAGGCTCACTTGGTTTGTTTAACCGATTTTACAGTCATTCAAGACTGATAACCATGGGGAATTTGGAGAAGCGTTGAAAACAGTTGTGAAATGCATATACAATCCACCTAAATACTATGCTAAGGTAATCAGTAATCACCCTTCCTTATTATAATTCTGCCATAGCCCTTTCTGGCCTAACTGTTTTGGAAATAAAAGTCCAAAATTAAGATCAATGCTTTATTTATGTCAACTTTACTTGGCCCCAAAACAGAGGACATGCCTACAATATCCATCTTATAAGCAGCCTTTTAGCGTTTCTAGTTTCTTCTGATTCTAATGTTTAATTTTGGTTGCATCATTCGTTTCAGACATTGTATGCAAGTTTAAAGGGCAAAACTACCGATAAGGGTGCGTTGGCACGGGTGATGGTGAGCAGAGCTGAGGTTGATATGGATGAAATTCAAAGGGTTTTCAGGAAGAAATATGGGATCGAGCTGAAAGATGCCATATGTGAGAACATTCCATCAGGGGATTACAGAGATTTTCTGGTTGCCTTAGCCACAAAAACTACTAATCTTGCATGACATGTCATACTCAACTACTTCGTAAAACATTGTTGCTATATGTTTTTAAAGCTGTACTGCTAACCAATACTACCAAGGTGTAGTGTGCTTATGAGATCAAAATATATCAATTTATTATCCAATTTCAGTTTTGTTAAAACAGTGGAAAGGATATGCCTTAGTAGCCTAATGGACAGTGCTAGGGGTGTTAATCAAGACGCCCAGCTCAGAGGAGACTCGAGCTCGACTTTTGTTTTAAACGAGTTGAATTCAAATAATTTTTTAGATCGTTTAGAAAAACGAGAGTAAAAGATGAAGCTTGAATTGTTTACATGTAAAATAGTCGAGTTATTCAAGTTCACCCCGAGTTCAAGTTCAGCTTGAATTCTAAACAAGTCAAACTTAAATAATTTTTTAGACTAATTTTTTTAAACGAGTTCGACAAACTTGTAAAACTCGGCTCGATTAACACTCCTAGATAGGGCTGATAATCGAGCCGAGCTACTCAGGTTTTACTTGTATAGAACTCGACTCGAGTTCAGCTCGTATTCTAAATAAGTCGAAGTTGAACAATTTTTTGGGTTTACTTATAAAAATTAACTTGCAAAACTCAACTCGTTTATACGTAAAATACTCAAGTTACTCGAGTTTGAATCGGGTTCGACTTATTTTCTAAAGGAGTCAAAACTTGAATAATTTTTTAAGTTTGTTTAAAAAAATGAATTCGACAGATTCTGCTCAAACTTACAAAGTTCAGTTTGATTATTTGCCCTACTAATAGAAGATAATTATTGAATTTAACTGTGAATAACAGATGGGATAGACAACAACCAAAATTGAATGGCTCTAGATTCCTTGTTAAATGTAATTGTACTTCTATAAGGTGATTAAGGGACTTGATGCAAACATAATAGTTTGGTGAATATTTATTATTAATTTATTTTTTGGAAAATTGAGAAAGGTGTTGGCTTTGTGGAGGAAGAAAAGGCTTGGCTCTACTCCAAGTTTTTTTTTTCCTTTTAATGTTTGGTATAAGCTATGGTTTCAAGTTCTCTCGAATTAAGGTAATACGGACAAATTTGCATACATTTGACCCCGCCTCTTAATAATGGCAAAAAATTCGTGGCCACATGGTTTTTTTTCATAACATATTTGCTCTCATTTAGTTGGTTTAAATATCTTTAAATTAATCACAACAAAAAAATAAAATGATATATTATCCATTAGGGTCCCCTACAAAAGCCACTAACATTAAATCATGGTAAAATGCTATACTACGAAAATATGTCTCACGAACAACAATAATTATCCTTCATATATGTATGGTTACATGGATAAATTACTTAATTTATACTTTTTCTTCATCTTTCAATTCCATAGCAAAAAAAAAAAAGAAGGGTAGAGGGGAAGATGTTGTAAATTCGATAGTTGAAACTTTTTCAATTATCTAGGATATATTGAGTTATTTTTTCTTTTTTTCTCTCTTTGATTTGATGGTGATGCATACTCTTGATAATTTAATTTTAAATTAGTAAATTAATGGGATTAAATTAATTGATTGGCTAGAGGACCAAAATTAATATGATTGTCTTAGGGTAGAGCACCAAAAAGAAAATCAAATTAGGCATCAAATTATTGGAAATTTGGAACAAAATCAAAGCCATTAACCCAAAAAGCAAACCCATGTTGAACAAATTATAAGGGTTAGGGAATAGGTCTGTCAACGGATCTTGATCTTGATCTTAATTTGCTAATATTTGAATTCGATGAAAAATTTGAGTTTTGAATCTGATTCGTTTATACAACGGATCTTAAAATTTTAATTCATATTTGAATTCGTTAATAATACGATATTTTTTATCCGATTTGATCTGAAAATTTAAATCCCAATAAAATTTCATAAAAAATTATTAATTTTACCAAATTTAAGGTAACTTTCAACCTAATTTAATCAACCAATTATTCTATTCAATAATTTTTGTTTAATTTCATATCAAACTCATTAATAATCTAATTAAATATGTATGTGTATACAATAATTTATCTCAATTAAATATAGATGTATGTAAGTGTATATATATATATATACACCGAATTAGATTTTTATTGGATCAAATTTACATGTATCTAAAATTCAAATTCATTTAGAGAAAACTTAATCGGATGCAAATAAACAAATTAAAACATTAATCAATATCTAGTTAAATGGATTCAAATTAAAATTTGTTCCAATGACAGACCAAGGGGGCACAAGTGTCCGAAAAGAGATAATCACACTTTACACTTAATTTTTTTTTTTTTTTTNTAAGAATCATCTTCAATTTACTTTCACAAGCCATAGCAAAGAAATATGAGTGCAATACCAGTAAAATAAATTTGAAATATATGTCAATGAGAAGGGGGAGGTCCTATTTATCCATTTTCAAAAATATGACTGTTATAAATATGACTGTTATAAATATGATCATTGAAAATATGACTATTATAAATATGACTGTTGTAAAATTTAAAATTTAAAAATTTGATGACGTGACATGACACATCATCATGCTCCGTCATCATTATAGTACTTACATGTTATGTCACGTGGTATTTTTGAATTATATTATTAAAAGTTAGTTGAAGTAATTAGTAAAAATAGAAAGCGTAGTTAGAATGAATTTTAAAAAGTAGTTAATGAAAATAGAGAATTTAATATTTAAATATATTTTGAGTAACTATTTTGTTAAGTGTGGTTGAAGATGCTTTTACGGCAGGTTATAGCTGCATTTTCATTTCTTCAGTGATTAGGTTATGTATCGGTGGCATCTGCTGTCCATTNCAATATTTAAATATATTTTGAGTAACTATTTTGTTAAGTGTGATTGAAGATGCTTTTACGGCAGGTTATAACTGCATTTTCATTTCTTCAGTGATTAGGTTATGTATCGGTGGCATCTGCTGTCCATTTAATGCATGACCAATTCTATACAGGCACTAAGCACAGTGAGCAGAACTTAGACGATACGCCTTGACCAACTTTTTCCTTTTTTTGCGCTTTGAAGCACAATGGCCTTATCATTCCACTCATATCCTATACTCCACTCATCCTGTAGTTGTTTGTGGTGCAACTTTACTGTACAAATCTTTTTATAAAAAAAAACATATGTTGATGCAGACAATTGGTTCATGGGATCACAGAAGTACAGTTTGGACACACTCCCATGTAAAATGGACTAAATAGAAAAATAGAATGTAGTTGAGGTTAGGGATATATGTATGGTACTATGGTACCGTCATAAGACTCTTTTACGTTCAAGTCAATTATGCATAAGTCTCGCGATGTATCGAGTTTGGAATGGTTTGGACAATTTGCTTGTTATTTGCTATGTGTGTTCCATCAAAAATATACAAGGATTCTCTCGTCACACAATGGTTTAGGCAAACGTTTTGAATTTAAATCTTGACAATTTTTTGGAATCAAACCATAGGACATTTATGTCTCATGAATATGCTAGTCCCGACATGAATGACCTGATTTTGACGCGTAAACTAGTCCAGACATGCTGACCATTGAACCAAAAAAAATAAAAATGGGTCAAAAAAAAGTTGGCTAAAAAGAGCTCATGGGAGACTCATATGTCTACTTGGAACTCCAGGCTGGTGAGTAGGAAGTGGGTCTTGAAAAAGTAGACTAAAAAGTAAGTTATTTCAGAGTCATTGTCTACTCAGAACCCATGACACCTTCACTAAAAAACAAACCGCAATGGACCCTTGTATTGATAATACAAGCTTGTAACGCTTCACTTTCTACTTGCCGCACAGAAGTTTCAGCTTTTCACTTTATTTCAGACATCTACTCCACCACAAAATACCCTTCCATGGAGGGTACAACCTTGATCACCAGAGGAAAACCACCTTTTCCTTGACCACCAAGCCATTGCAGCCTATATAAGAGACTCATTGCTCCTAAGTTCATTTACATTAGACCTTCCAACATCTTGTAACAACGAGAGTCTCATGCACTCGGCTGCTATTTTCACAATTCTAATGTTCTACACATGGCCACCAAAATCACGATTTCACCAATCCTCAGTAGTGAGAATGTTTGCAAGGAGATTCATGATTCCTGGGGAAGCCTAAACCATTTGGTTCCATCTCTTGCTAGTCTGTCCGGGCTCCAACGCAAACAGATCAGAGAAGAATACATGACAATGTATGGGGAAGACCTCCTTTTGCATCTCAGAAACACTCACAGAAATCAGACAGAGGTTTCAGCAGAGATCTGTGCAGCTGCAGCCTTGTCCATGCTGATCCTTAACCCCAATGAGCGCGACGCCATCGTGTCTAGAGAAGCACTGGAGCAGAGTGACATCAACTACAAGGCTCTCATTGAAATTTTCGTGGGTCGAAAATCAAGCCATGTAGCCCTCATCCAACAAGCTTATCAGACTAGATTTAGGAGGCTGTTGGACCAAGACATTATCACCATTGAACCTCCCAACCCATACAAAAAGGTAAAGTTCCTCGTGTATATTTAGTCTAATATTCACATAAAGCTAAGGAAACAGTCCTTTCACATGCTGGGTAAGATTGCATCCATTTAACAGTGACAGGAGTCTCGTGTATTAGAATTTTTTTTATTCTCGCAACATAAGAAACTAAAGATTTGGGTATTTTCACTATAAGAACATAAGAACTTTTCAAAGCTCCGGTAAGTGTTTGATTTGGGTTGCTGTGATAGATACTGATGGCATTGGCTGCATCACACAAAGCCCACCATGCAGATGTTAGCCAACATATTGCCAAGTGTGATGCTAGGAGGCTCTATCAAACAGGGGAGGGAAGATCAGGTGCTGTTGATGAATCTGTTGTGCTAGAAATTCTCAGCAAGAGGAGCATTTCACAGCTCAAGCAGACATTTTCTTGTTATAAGCTTATCTATGGGCATAACTATACAAAGGTAAGGCTTTTGAGTATTTCAAATTATAAGCACAGCAATCTAGTTGCAAGTATGAACATTCTCAATGGGATATTGTAGTTAGAATGAATTGAAATTCAAATCACTGAGGCTCACTTGGTTTGTTTAACCGATTTTACAGTCATTCAAGACTGATAACCATGGGGAATTTGGAGAAGCGTTGAAAACAGTTGTGAAATGCATATACAATCCACCTAAATACTATGCTAAGGTAATCAGTAATCACCCTTCCTTATTATAATTCTGCCATAGCCCTTTCTGGCCTAACTGTTTTGGAAATAAAAGTCCAAAATTAAGATCAATGCTTTATTTATGTCAACTTTACTTGGCCCCAAAACAGAGGACATGCCTACAATATCCATCTTATAAGCAGCCTTTTAGCGTTTCTAGTTTCTTCTGATTCTAATGTTTAATTTTGGTTGCATCATTCGTTTCAGACATTGTATGCAAGTTTAAAGGGCAAAACTACCGATAAGGGTGCGTTGGCACGGGTGATGGTGAGCAGAGCTGAGGTTGATATGGATGAAATTCAAAGGGTTTTCAGGAAGAAATATGGGATCGAGCTGAAAGATGCCATATGTGAGAACATTCCATCAGGGGATTACAGAGATTTTCTGGTTGCCTTAGCCACAAAAACTACTAATCTTGCATGACATGTCATACTCAACTACTTCGTAAAACATTGTTGCTATATGTTTTTAAAGCTGTACTGCTAACCAATACTACCAAGGTGTAGTGTGCTTATGAGATCAAAATATATCAATTTATTATCCAATTTCAGTTTTGTTAAAACAGTGGAAAGGATATGCCTTAGTAGCCTAATGGACAGTGCTAGGGGTGTTAATCAAGACGCCCAGCTCAGAGGAGACTCGAGCTCGACTTTTGTTTTAAACGAGTTGAATTCAAATAATTTTTTAGATCGTTTAGAAAAACGAGAGTAAAAGATGAAGCTTGAATTGTTTACATGTAAAATAGTCGAGTTATTCAAGTTCACCCCGAGTTCAAGTTCAGCTTGAATTCTAAACAAGTCAAACTTAAATAATTTTTTAGACTAATTTTTTTAAACGAGTTCGACAAACTTGTAAAACTCGGCTCGATTAACACTCCTAGATAGGGCTGATAATCGAGCCGAGCTACTCAGGTTTTACTTGTATAGAACTCGACTCGAGTTCAGCTCGTATTCTAAATAAGTCGAAGTTGAACAATTTTTTGGGTTTACTTATAAAAATTAACTTGCAAAACTCAACTCGTTTATACGTAAAATACTCAAGTTACTCGAGTTTGAATCGGGTTCGACTTATTTTCTAAAGGAGTCAAAACTTGAATAATTTTTTAAGTTTGTTTAAAAAAATGAATTCGACAGATTCTGCTCAAACTTACAAAGTTCAGTTTGATTATTTGCCCTACTAATAGAAGATAATTATTGAATTTAACTGTGAATAACAGATGGGATAGACAACAACCAAAATTGAATGGCTCTAGATTCCTTGTTAAATGTAATTGTACTTCTATAAGGTGATTAAGGGACTTGATGCAAACATAATAGTTTGGTGAATATTTATTATTAATTTATTTTTTGGAAAATTGAGAAAGGTGTTGGCTTTGTGGAGGAAGAAAAGGCTTGGCTCTACTCCAAGTTTTTTTTTTCCTTTTAATGTTTGGTATAAGCTATGGTTTCAAGTTCTCTCGAATTAAGGTAATACGGACAAATTTGCATACATTTGACCCCGCCTCTTAATAATGGCAAAAAATTCGTGGCCACATGGTTTTTTTTCATAACATATTTGCTCTCATTTAGTTGGTTTAAATATCTTTAAATTAATCACAACAAAAAAATAAAATGATATATTATCCATTAGGGTCCCCTACAAAAGCCACTAACATTAAATCATGGTAAAATGCTATACTACGAAAATATGTCTCACGAACAACAATAATTATCCTTCATATATGTATGGTTACATGGATAAATTACTTAATTTATACTTTTTCTTCATCTTTCAATTCCATAGCAAAAAAAAAAAAGAAGGGTAGAGGGGAAGATGTTGTAAATTCGATAGTTGAAACTTTTTCAATTATCTAGGATATATTGAGTTATTTTTTCTTTTTTTCTCTCTTTGATTTGATGGTGATGCATACTCTTGATAATTTAATTTTAAATTAGTAAATTAATGGGATTAAATTAATTGATTGGCTAGAGGACCAAAATTAATATGATTGTCTTAGGGTAGAGCACCAAAAAGAAAATCAAATTAGGCATCAAATTATTGGAAATTTGGAACAAAATCAAAGCCATTAACCCAAAAAGCAAACCCATGTTGAACAAATTATAAGGGTTAGGGAATAGGTCTGTCAACGGATCTTGATCTTGATCTTAATTTGCTAATATTTGAATTCGATGAAAAATTTGAGTTTTGAATCTGATCCGTTTATACAACGGATCTTAAAATTTTAATTCATATTTGAATTCGTTAATAATACGATATTTTTTATCCGATTTGATCTGAAAATTTAAATCCCAATAAAATTTCATAAAAAATTATTAATTTTACCAAATTTAAGGTAACTTTCAACCTAATTTAATCAACCAATTATTCTATTCAATAATTTTTGTTTAATTTCATATCAAACTCATTAATAATCTAATTAAATATGTATGTGTATACAATAATTTATCTCAATTAAATATAGATGTATGTAAGTGTATATATATATATATACACCGAATTAGATTTTTATTGGATCAAATTTACATGTATCTAAAATTCAAATTCATTTAGAGAAAACTTAATCGGATGCAAATAAACAAATTAAAACATTAATCAATATCTAGTTAAATGGATTCAAATTAAAATTTGTTCCAATGACAGACCAAGGGGGCACAAGTGTCCGAAAAGAGATAATCACACTTTACACTTAATTTTTTTTTTTTTTTTAATTTGTATTTTCAAGCATAGATCTCTTATATATATATCTTTAATGTATTAAAAATAATCATTTGGTTAGCTTTTATTTTTCATTTTGTTAATGCAGCCCTAGTCCTTCGTCCACCTCTCTGCATTTTCACTCAGGAATTTCACACATTGTGGGTGTCATTTACGCCAAGAAGCTGCACCATTCAGTGCCCAGTGCCACTCAGAGAGAGGCTCAACCAACATGCCACCCAAAAAAGCTTCCTCCGCCGCTTGGCCGCCCAGACGCACCCCAAGATCCACCGCACGAAAATCCACTCAAAAAGCTTCATCCGCTAACTCTCCTCCTCCCCACGCCGTCTCTGCCGATGATTCACCTGGAACTCCAACCGCCACCGCCACCGCCACCTCACCACTAAAACCAAACCTTTCTTTCTCCTCTCCCAAAACCATTACCCCATCAACCTCTCCCAAACAAAATACAACCCTCGAATCCTCTCTTCAAAATCAAACAACAACCAAAGCATCTCCAAAAACTAACCCTAATGAAACCACCCCCGAATTTTCGCCTAATTATGACATCACCCCAAAATCTTCTTCTCGGACAAACGTTGCATCAGCACACCCTATGGCCTTTCCTGATGTTTACGCTAAACGTACTGATGAATCTATCAATGATGGTGTTAGTGAAGTTCAGGCTAAAACAGAAGTTGAAAGAGCCGAGTCCGTGACAGTTCTGCCCGAAACAAAGCCTAGAACTGATGATCGATCCATGGGCGAACTGGATATTGATGAAACCTTAGCTGAGAAGGGCCTGGTGATACCGGAAAATGTTGTGGAAATTGAAGTTAGAAGTGGCCAAGTAACGGCGCAAAAGAGTCCAAAAAAGGTGTTGAAGAAGACAGTGAGGGTTGTAAAAAAGATTGTGAAGAAGAAAGTGCCCAAAAGGGTGCTCAAGGGTCAGAATGCTTTGGGGAATGCGGAGGTGGAGAAGTTGGAAGGTATCGATGGTGGTGAAAGGCCCAATTCTGGTGGTTTGGGCGAGGTGGATGCTAGGAATTCTAATGCTGATGCTGTTGAATCCTTTTCAGTGAAAGTTGAAAGTAGTAAGGCTAATGATAGTAGTTGTATGGAATTCGAAGATTCCAATGCTATTGCTATTGTTTCGGTGGAAGCCGAAAATTTTGAGTCTAAAAGTTGTAGTTTTGACTTGGTGAAAGTTGAAAAGCATAGTTTTAGTGTTGACACTTCAATTGAAGTTGGAAATTTGAAGGAGACCAAGGTTTGTGAAAGAAATCCGGATGGGTTGATAACTGAAAATGTATGTCAAGCTCCGGTTTCGGATTCTGTTGGAGATAAGATTGATGCAGGTGCAGTTGAGAAGACTGTTTCAGAGAATGAAGCTCAGTTGGAAGACCAAAATGTGGCTTCGGTTGAAAATCAAAACAATATATGCACAAGTGAGAATGTGAACTTGGATGGTTTGGAAGACCAAAATGTGGCTTCGGTTGAAAATCAAAACAATAAAAGCACAAGTGAGAATGTGAATTTAGATGGTGGTGAAGGTGAGGAGGCAGTGAAGGAAGAAGTAGGGAATAGTCAGGTGGAAGTGGGGTTGGGTGATGGATTACTATTGAGTGGGGAAATGGAGGCATTGGAGAGGCGGAGGAGGCGGAAAACAGAGATTTTTGTTGGTGGGTTGGACAAGGATGTGAAGGAGGAAGATATCAGGAAAGTTTTTGAAGAGGTTGGTGAGGTTACAGAAGTGAGCTTGGTGATGAATGGGAAAACAGGAAAGAACAGAGGGTTTGCATTTGTAAGGTTTGCTTCATTCGCTGATGCTAGGACTGCTTTAGCAAAATACTCCAAAGTTGAGGTAACTCTATTGCATTTTTGTTGTGCTACTGCTACTGTTGTCTAATTAACATGAAGCATTGTTAGTGTAATCTCACTTACTTTAGTTGCACAATTGTCTCTTAGAAGTTAACTTTAGGGATGCAATGGGTTTTGTGGGTTACTTTTTTGGTCAAAGGTTTTGTAGGTTTAAGTAGCTAGTTTGCAAGGCGATGTGCATGGAAATGGTTGTGTGGATATGTTGTTCTCTTGTGCTTGTCCTTGGAACAGTTGTATATGCATGCAAACTTTGAAAAAACATAGGCATATAATTGATGCTTGTTATTTTTGGGAAAGTGTTGGGCCAAGAACCAACTTTATGAAATGATATGAAGTTATAAACTAATTTCTTGAATTATTCTCTGCCTATCCAAAATGTTTGACCACCTAAGAAAGATACTCTGCTAACAGATAACTGTCCGTTATTCACTATTTCAATGGTTTTATGACTGCCATGTAATGCCTACCTATCCAAAGTGTCAACATTGATTGATTAGTAGCTACACTTTTCCCTATTCGATCTTATTGTCCCCTTTTTTCATTCAACTAGCAAACTTGGCAACTGTTAGTGGACCACCTCTTGGCTCTTGTTATACAATGATTGACATGGGTTCCAACAGAAAAGGAACTAATGGCTCAGGTGCTTGGTCTTGGGCAAGGGACTGTATTTTGCTAAGAAATGTCCAAAATGTCTGAAATGTTTATCTTCCTTGAAAACCAAAATGAATCTATGATTGAATATTGAAAGTCCCATGTTTCGAGTAGTTTCACTATGTTTCAATCAATGTTTCAAAATGTTCGCAAACGGATTTCCGATTGTTTTCTTTGTTTCCATTGTATTTCCAAAATATTTTGGAAACATTACCAAATGTTCAAGTTGACTGAAATTATGCACCGAAACAAAATTTTGATCCTTTGTCTGGTGTTACTTGGATGGGTTAGTGAGTGGTCCTACTTAAATAAGCTGTCCAGTTGGCTAATATTACATGAAATATATCTGTGTAATGCTTCTAAGCTGTTTTAGTTTTTCTGCCATTTCTTCATTACTGCATGTATGTAACAGAATTATTATCAGCAGTTTCCTGGAGAATTATTATTATTATTGTTGTTTTTGTTATCATTTTGAAATGTATGATGATAATCTCCAATTTTCTTACGGTATATACTCCTGAAGTTGAACAAATTGTTTGAGAATATTTGCTTGGCCTTAGACATATTCTGATGTACTTATTGTTGGTGATATTATCTTGCCTATTGTATGCTTTGCAACTCACGTAGATTTGTGGAAAGCGGTGCGGCGCGTTACCTGTTGAGGGCAATGACACTATATTTCTTGGTAATATTGACAAAAAGTGGAAGAGTGAAGATGTAAGTTTAGTTATTCTATATCTATATCAACCAGTAACTATTTTAGGCTTGATTGATTTTTAAGGAGTATTATGTTTTGGGCAGGTCGTTACACTGTTGCAGGAGATAGGTATTGAGAAGATAGATGAAGTTACCGTTAAGGCTGATCCTAATAACCTTGAGTATAATCGTGGGTTTGCGTTTCTTGAGCTTGAAACCAGCAAAGATGCTCAAATTGCGTATAATAAACTCCAAAAGAAGGGTGCTTTTGGGAAGCACTTGAGGATTAAAGTTGAATGGGCCAAACCCTTGATTGAACCAGGTGAAGAAGAAATGCGTAAGGTTAGTTTTGTTGGTCTATATTTGTTCACTGTAAAGGATTAACTGTCCTGGTTTTATTCAATTATAATATAGACTTGGATTTAGTTGTGATAACTTTAATCAAATTAATGAATTGGTTTTGTCTAGAATATTAACTTTCTCTATATTATTTCTAAAGTTTTGTTCCTGGTTTCCTTTTTTCTTGGTTTCTTTTCTTTTCTACCCATCTGTTCTTTTATGTTGTTTCAGTTGGAAAAACCAGCTATCTGGGTGCCCCTAACGTACAGATTATAAATTTTATGTTCACTTGTTTTGCCTCTGTCTAGGTCAAATCAGTTTATGCTGAGTATATACCTTCCACATGGGATGAAGAGAAAGTGATAGACTACTTCAAAAAATTTGGCGAAATTGAAAATGTTGCTCTTGCCAAAGATCTTCATTCATCCAAGAGAAAGGACTTCNCGAGTATATACCTTCCACATGGGATGAAGAGAAAGTGATAGACTACTTCAAAAAATTTGGTGAAATTGAAAATGTTGCTCTTGCCAAAGATCTTCATTCATCCAAGAGAAAGGACTTCGCATTTGTCAATTATGCAACCCGTGAGGCTGCTCTTGCATGTATTGAGGCATTCAACAGTGAGCAATTGAATGATGAGGGGTCCAAGGTTCTGCTTTTTATATTTGTGATGATGTTACTTTTTGTATTAAAATGCCTTTCCTGATAAATTCTATAACTGTAATGTTTTAGGCAAATATGAAGGTATCTCTTGCAAAACCCATATCAAAGGGCAAGCAAATTAAACATGTTCCAAATACTTCCAGTAAGGAAATTTCCAAAGAGAATAGAAATGCAGCCTATCGTGAGTATTTGTGTCTTTTGAATGCTTGCTATACATCCATGCAAGGCTCAAATTTTGTTTGGGTGTATAGGTTGAATTTTATTGATATCGACAAATTTTATGTGATTAATTCACCATTTTCTTTGTTTTAGCTNCGCAGCCTATCGTGAGTATTTGTGTCTTTTGAATGCTTGCTATAAATCCATGCAAGGCTCAAATTTTGTTTGGGTGTATAGGTTGAGTTTTATTGATATCGACAAATTTTATGTGATTAATTCACCATTTTCTTTGTTTTAGCTGTCACAAGGCTGCATGAACCAAAAAACAAGGGAAAATTTACCAGAAATCCTTATGCAGATGTTGGAGTTGATAAACGGTCTTCTACTACTGCTGAGCTTGTACAACTCTTGAGGGAACAAGCATCATGGAGTCAGACACAGCCAGGTTCAGGCATAGGTAATGTGTAATTCTCTATCTCCAATTCTCCTCATATCTATGCTATGTATGATATTTTACAGGGGTATAAATTTCAACTATTTTTGTAACCTATGCAAGTGTAGAATCTTTTTGTGACTTTTTTGTCTAAATGTTTTGGGTTTTTGCTTGCTTGGTTGACTACACTTTAGTTGAAAAAACTAAATAACTCCAAATGTGTTAATGTGAGATGATAAGTGGCAGAGTTTTGTAATAGTGAATGCCCAAGGGTAAGTGCATCCCAGATTAAACAGTTGAAATTAATTATTGAAGCATCCAGGTTTTTGTTCTTCTTTCGTTGCAGTCAAGCTTCACTTGATATGTAGGACAGAAAACCACACATGGAGCTTATTCCCTAGTTGTACAGAGTATGACAATCTTTTGAAATAGCTAATCTTCCTTAAATTTGAATAAACTTGCTTTGTTGGAAAATGTCTATAGCCACACACAAACTTACACCATATACTTTTGCATTTCAAAGTTGTATGTCAAACTATCAAGTATGTCACACCAGCATTGTAGGCACCCCAACTCTTTTTTCTTTTCATAGTGTAAATGCACTGACCTCTTTTATGGTTGGGCACCTACTGATTGGAGCTTATACACAGATCAAACCTTCCCACCGGAAAACCTTTCAATTTATCTACTCTTGTGTCGAGCATCTTGACTTTGTTCAAATCATTTCATTGATGAATGCCATCTAAGTTTACATTGAAATCCATTCTGGAAGTGCAAAACACGTTCAGTGAATGATTAGAATTGTAAGAACTTTTTAGTGGCCTGGTTTCCAGCCCATTGAGGTCTCCAAAACACTTTTCTTTATTTGAAAATACCAAAAAACAAAAGGAGAAAATACAGAAATCCTCAGTTGAAGAATTATGCTACTTAGTGGTGCGTAAATTGTCTGACAGTCTTAACTGAGAGCTGTTGGACAAATACTTTTTATCTCTCTCTCTCTCTCTCATTGGTTGTATTTATTTCACTGGGCCATGAGGAAGTGTTNGGTCTTAACTGAGAGCTGTTGTACAAATACTTTTTATCTCTCTCTCTCTCTCTCTCATTGGTTGTATTTATTTCACTGGGCCATGAGGAAGTGTTTGCATAAAGCGTCTGATTTTTCACCCTTTTATTTTCCTTGCGTGGCCAGGCTCTGTTGAACTGGATTCTCATTACCCATCACAAGGAAGAAAGCGGCCATTTTCTGCGCTGGTAGGTCCTATGTTTGTTGGTATATGGTTATTTGCTAATATGCGTGCCTGCTTCACAGGACACCTTTGATTCAAACATGCAGGGAGATGATCGAATTTATTCAGATCCGAGAAGGTTTCCTCAAGCGCGCTTGGAAAGTTCTTATCCATTGACAAGGTTTTGGTTTATTTGGCCTTGCGTGATACCCATCTACTTAATTTTATCATAAAAATTATTTAGAACTCTTGTGCATGATATTTTCCAGGTTGAAGCCTTTTGATGCAATTGTTCATTACTAATCATGATTTACCCTTTTTTCCCAGTCACAGTATGTTGTCTCAGGGTGTTGCCGTATCATCTTTGCCGTATCATCGACAAAGTGGTGGTTATACATCTCGTAAGCTAATATGCCACATTAAATTATGGCTTTAGGAGATTTTTTTTTTCAGTATTTTATATAGGTTTTTTCTTTCTATTTCAGAGTCATCATCTGTGGTTGAAGATTATGCTAATTACATACAGGTATGAAATTTGTTTGTTCTTGTGCTTCTAGTTAAAGTTCCTCATCGAGAATATATCTGTTATTTATGTAAATGGTTCGACTTTTGTTCTCAGTCCATTTATATCTGGCAATTTTGGTGAGCCACACATAGGGCACCCATTTATTGAGCTGTGCTGATATTATGAGGCATGACTGAGGAAACGACTTAGTTAGTAAAATTGTTGAATTTTTTTATTTTTTTTTTAACTTGATCATTTGAACCCTTACTAATATCATTGAAAGGATGCACACATACTGACACTCATATTACTGCACTTTGAATATAATTTAGGTCCCCTTGAACGTTTGAACCTAAGCAGCAAAAATGTTCTTTCGAATTTTCTAAGAGCTGTGACGGTGAAAAAATGACTGTTTTTGTGTACGCAAATTTTATTTTAATGGGATTTTTGATGGAACCATGAAAAATGACCTTCTCAAGTTTCCAGAATAATTTTCCTTATCGGATGAGTTTCTGATTATTAATTATAGGAAGTATCTAAAAAAGGAAACTTATTTATGTCTCATTTTTGTTTTTTAGGTTTCCATAGGTGGCAAAAAGTTTTTTTCCTTCAAACTCAACACTAAATAATTCTAGAAACTTTGATATTAAACACTGTTAAATTAGATACTGTCATCTTTAATTCATATCTTAGAACATCTGATCAATTTGTCAAAATTTGTCTTGCAGACAAGAGAACAAGCCTCATTCCATGGAAGTAGTGGTTTATACCGTAGATGTAAGTGATTTCTTTTCTTTTATTATCTCGTATTGAAAATGTTGAACTCTCTTGTTTTATGTTGTTTGAATCCATCTGTTGAAGAGTTTCTTGACCCCATCTGTTGTCTACTCAGATTTTATCCTTTCTCATTCTCTAATATCAACTTTTGTTTGACATTAGTATTTTGGTCATCTGAATAAACATATTGGTCTTCACTTGATATGCACATAAATCATCGTCATCACAAGAGAAGTGGCTTTCCAACTTTTAGGTTGATCTAGTGAACACTTTTCCCTTATTTTTCATTTGAAAACGTTTAATTTCCATTATAAAAATTAACTGATTTAACATAATTGAACTGTTTTGCACCAGTTGCAGCCTCCCCACCCACACCAAAAAAAAAAAAAAAAAAAACCCAACCCAATTCTGTCTGTCCAACTAAGCTTTTTTCGTCAATCTTACATCTAATTTTGTTGATCTTACATGTCTATATCCTCTGTGTGTGTGTGTGCCCCCCTGTAGTAGTGCCTACAGTTTGTACCATTCTACTGGATGTTGGTGTGAAGGTTATATCAGATTGGTCTGTGATAAAAGTGAGTGTCTGTGATTTTTTTTAGATCTCTTGCCATCCAAGATTTTGCAGAATAAAGTGCAAAATCTCTGGTGACTTAACCCTCTTTCTTTTTTCTTGATGTGGCTCTCTATGCCACGTCCTTGTTAGATGTTTCATCTTCAATGTGATGACTACCATCTTTGTTTCTATAATGTGTTCCATCTTTGTTTTGTGGCTTCTTCTGAGATTTATTTTGCATTTTGAAGTTTTGAAGTTATAATGTATCACGTGTATATCAATGCTAGAATGTCACAATTCAGATTATAACACTGTGGGAGTCTAGGAGGAATGAAAATTGGAAAATAAAGTGTAGAGGTAAGCAGTGGTGAAACTAAAAGAAAGCGACTGCCTGTTTTGATATTGGGGAAAGAAAAAAGAGATGAAAGAGAAACAATTTTTCCTCTTCTTATTTGGTGGTGGAGAGAAAAAAGAAAAGAGTAGGGATGTTTTCTTCTAGATACAAACATAAAAAAAAGGAAAAAAGAAAAGAAAAGAAAAGAAAAGGAAAGCAGTGGCTAAAAGGAGGAGCAAACCAGTCAATTACACGTTCCTTTTCTTTTTGAGTACTCTCCCTTTTTGGGTGGAAACAAAAGTGGGTCTCAACNAAGAAAAGAAAAGGAAAGCAGTGGCTAAAAGGAGGAGCAAACCAGTCAATTACACATTCCTTTTCTTTTTGAGTACTCTCCCTTTTTGGGTGGAAACAAAAGTGGGTCTCAACTTATTTTCCTATTCCCACCCTCTTTTTCTTTCCTAATTGCATGGTCCAAACTATGGAATTTCACGTCACAATAGTAGTCAATATGGCCTTTTTCCAATATGGAGGGGTTTTTTCATCAAGGCGATCCATTGTCCTTTCTTTCAATCAGAGGATTAGAGGCCCTATCCGCTGATTGCACAAACCAAAGATCAAGGACTCTTGCATGGCATAAGAATTACTTGATCGTGCCCTCTGGTCAATCATTTGATGTATGCCAAGGAAGTAAGGATATGAATACGGGATACGGGTACGATAAGATATGAATATGGCGATACGAAAAAACTTGAAAAAATAGGTTATGGACACGGCTAGGATACGTCNCCGCTGATTGCACAAACCAAAGATCAAGGACTCTTGCATGGCATAAGAATTACTTGATCGTGTCCTCTGGTCAATCATTTGATGTATGCCAAGGAAGTAAGGATATGAATACGGGATACGGGTACGATAAGATATGGATATGGCGATACGAAAAAACTTGAAAAAATAGGTTATGGACACGGCTAGGATACGTCTATAATAAAATATATTTTATATTTTACTATTATCTAACTACTTAAAAGTTACAATTTTTAATAATAATTTAACATTAGTAAGTAAATTACCAATTTTTACCTCGAAAAAGATGTAATATCATTTTATTATAATATATTCATATAGCGAACGTGTCCAATTAAAGGAATCAAAACAACATTTAGCTAGTTGGTTTGTTTACAAGTATTTGTTTCTAAGATTATAATGTGGTTAACTCAATTTTTTTTTATACTCTTTTAAAGTGTAATAGTAGATATACTTAGAAAACACTCGTGTTTTCAAAATCAATTTTAATTTTGTTGATGTTTCGTATTGTATTGAACTCGNTAATTTTTTTTTGTACTCTTTTAAAGTGTAATAGTAGATATACTTAGAAAACACTCGTGTTTTCAAAATCAATTTGAATTTTGTTGATGTTTCGTATTGTATTGAACTCGAAATTAGAAGGTATAGATTAAAATTAAAAATTGTACATCTTGTTTCAGGGGTAGAAGTATTTGCGAAGTATCCACATATTTTATTAATTATCGAATATGTATGTTGTGTATCCGATACGTATTCTCGAGTATCCGACGAGTATCATATCCGATATGATATCCAATAGTGCGTTGACCTTAACAAAGTATCCATGCTTCATAAATGTATGCTCATGCATTTGTGGAAGGAGCATATTATCAATGAATCTCTTGAGATTTTTGAAGAACAAATAATAAATTTAAGAGAAACCTGGTTTTTGATTAGTTGAAATGGAAATCTTCATAAGATTGGTAATTGCCTCCCTTTCAGCCTACAATATACTGGCCTTTCCACTTCCGAATCCTTTCTGTTGCNCAATTTTTTTTTATACTCTTTTAAAGTGTAATAGTAGATATACTTAGAAAACACTCGTGTTTTCAAAATCAATTTTAATTTTGTTGATGTTTCGTATTGTATTGAACTCGAAATTAGAAGGTATAGATTAAAATTAAAAATTGTACATCTTGTTTCAGGGTAGAAGTATTTGCGAAGTATCCACATATTTTATTAATTATCGAATATGTATGTTGTGTATCCGATACGTATTCTCGAGTATCCGACGAGTATCATATCCGATATGATATCCAATAGTGCGTTGACCTTAACAAAGTATCCATGCTTCATAAATGTATGCTCATGCATTTGTGGAAGGAGCATATTATCAATGAATCTCTTGAGATTTTTGAAGAACAAATAATAAATTTAAGAGAAACCTGGTTTTTGATTAGTTGAAATGGAAATCTTCATAAGATTGGTAATTGCCTCCCTTTCAGCCTACAATATACTGGCCTTTCCACTTCCGAATCCTTTCTGTTGCTATAAGTTCATTGGGTTTTTTTAATATCTTTGTGTGTGTNTTTATGGTTGGGCACCTACTGATTGGAGCTTATACACAGATCAAACCTTCCCACCGGAAAACCTTTCAATTTATCTACTCTTGTGTCGAGCATCTTGACTTTGTTCAAATCATTTCATTGATGAATGCCATCTAAGTTTACATTGAAATCCATTCTGGAAGTGCAAAACACGTTCAGTGAATGATTAGAATTGTAAGAACTTTTTAGTGGCCTGGTTTCCAGCCCATTGAGGTCACCAAAACACTTTTCTTTATTTGAAAATACCAAAAAACAAAAGGAGAAAATACAGAAATCCTCAGTTGAAGAATTATGCTACTTAGTGGTGCGTAAATTGTCTGACGGTCTTAACTGAGAGCTGTTGTACAAATACTTTTTATCTCTCTCTCTCTCTCTCTCATTGGTTGTATTTATTTCACTGGGCCATGAGGAAGTGTTTGCATAAAGCGTCTGATTTTTCACCCTTTTATTTTCCTTGCGTGGCCAGGCTCTGTTGAACTGGATTCTCATTACCCATCACAAGGAAGAAAGCGGCCATTTTCTGCGCTGGTAGGTCCTATGTTTGTTGGTATATGGTTATTTGCTAATATGCGTGCCTGCTTCACAGGACACCTTTGATTCAAACATGCAGGGAGATGATCGAATTTATTCAGATCCGAGAAGGTTTCCTCAAGCGCGCTTGGAAAGTTCTTATCCATTGACAAGGTTTTGGTTTATTTGGCCTTGCGTGATACCCATCTACTTAATTTTATCATAAAAATTATTTAGAACTCTTGTGCATGATATTTTCCAGGTTGAAGCCTTTTGATGCAATTGTTCATTACTAATCATGATTTACCCTTTTTTCCCAGTCACAGTATGTTGTCTCAGGGTGTTGCCGTATCATCTTTGCCGTATCATCGACAAAGTGGTGGTTATACATCTCGTAAGCTAATATGCCACATTAAATTATGGCTTTAGGAGATTTTTTTTTTCAGTATTTTATATAGGTTTTTTCTTTCTATTTCAGAGTCATCATCTGTGGTTGAAGATTATGCTAATTACATACAGGTATGAAATTTGTTTGTTCTTGTGCTTCTAGTTAAAGTTCCTCATCGAGAATATATCTGTTATTTATGTAAATGGTTCGACTTTTGTTCTCAGTCCATTTATATCTGGCAATTTTGGTGAGCCACACATAGGGCACCCATTTATTGAGCTGTGCTGATATTATGAGGCATGACTGAGGAAACGACGTAGTTAGTAAAATTGTTGAATTTTTTTTTTTTTTTTGTAACTTGATCATTTGAACCCTTACTAATATCATTGAAAGGATGCACACATACTGACACTCATATTACTGCACTTTGAATATAATTTAGGTCCCCTTGAACGTTTGAACCTAAGCAGCAAAAATGTTCTTTCGAATTTTCTAAGAGCTGTGACGGTGAAAAAATGACTGTTTTTGTGTACGCAAATTTTATTTTAATGGGATTTTTGATGGAACCATGAAAAATGACCTTCTCAAGTTTCCAGAATAATTTTCCTTATCGGATGAGTTTCTGATTATTAATTATAGGATGTACCTAAAAAAGGGAACTTATTTATGTCTCATTTTTGTTTTTTAGGTTTCCATAGGTGGCAAAAAGTTTTTTTTCCTTCAAACTCAACACTAAATAATTCTAGAAACTTTGATATTAAACACTGTTAAATTAGATACTGTCATCTTTAATTCATATCTTAGAACATCTGATCAATTTGTCAAAATTTGTCTTGCAGACAAGAGAACAAGCCTCATTCCATGGAAGTAGTGGTTTATACCGTAGATGTAAGTGATTTCTTTTCTTTTATTATCTCGTATTGAAAATGTTGAACTCTCTTGTTTTATGTTGTTTGAATCCATCTGTTGAAGAGTTTCTTGACCCCATCTGTTGTCTACTCAGATTTTATCCTTTCTCATTCTCTAATATCAACTTTTGTTTGACATTAGTATTTTGGTCATCTGAATAAACATATTGGTCTTCACTTGATATGCACATAAATCATCGTCATCACAAGAGAAGTGGCTTTCCAACTTTTAGGTTGATCTAGTGAACACTTTTCCCTTATTTTTCATTTGAAAACGTTTAATTTCCATTATAAAAATTAACTGATTTAACATAATTGAACTGTTTTGCACCAGTTGCAGCCTCCCCACCCACANGGGGAACAGTGTTGTGAAAAGCTTGCCTAGGCGAGAAGCGAGCTGAGGCAAGCATATCTCGCCTGGAGGACCCTAGGCGAAGTGAAGTGAGAAAAAGCGAAAAAACGAAAAAGCGAAAGAGCGTTCGTTTTATTATAAAAAACGAGAAATGTTTGATTTTTAATTTGAACCGTTGGATTGGGCGANAGGATTTAAAACCTTTTAGATTAGTGAAGAATATCTACTTGGTGCAATTAAGGTAGCATTTGATTGTCAGATCTATCTACAGTTTCGCTCATTGATTTAACTATTGCTGCACCTTTTGTTCGCATGAATCACTTGCTAGTACTACACAAAAGAAAAGGAGAGTCGGGGCACGGAGCACTCGTCATTACATATCAGTCATATTAGTGAAGAGTTAGTGGTACGTAATCTTACTAATGCATGTTCGGAGACTGTTTTTAAGACTGGATTATATAACACCCAACTTATAATAAAATTACCAATGTATGTGGAGAGATTGTTTTTATGACCCAAGTATATGATGTTAAGATCACAATGAGCTAATCTTATCATTTGTGTGGATAACATCCTTTTTTGAGACTATTGAAACAAATTCCAAATTTCACATGAATTGAAAAACTTGATTCTATGATGGCTTCTTATATCTGTAGTGTAATTTGAATCATGCAGTATCAGACATGAGATAGATCTTCTAAAGAATAAGGCATTTTCAGAATTATCTTTAAATTATCAGTCCTGTGTAGTTCATGAAGGCAATCCAGTTCTTTGAACTGCAATACATTTGATTAGCTGGGAACAGTGTTGTGAAAAGCTTGCCTAGGCGAGAAGCGAGCTGAGGCAAGCATATCTCGCCTGGAGGACCCTAGGCGAAGTGAAGTGAGAAAAAGCGAAAAAACGAAAAAGCGAAAGAGCGTTCGTTTTATTATAAAAAACGAGAAATGTTTGATTTTTAATTTGAACCGTTGGATTGGGCGATTGGAAAAAAAAATTATAAGATGAGATATACTGAATTATTCCCTTATCTAATAAATAAAACTACAAACCCTAATTTATCCCCTAATTGATGCCCGCTCGTTGCTCAGGAGGAGGACTACACAAAAGCTCGAAGCTCGTTGCTGCTTGTTACACAGAAGCTCGTTGCTTACTGGGCTCGATCGACAGAGGCTCTCTGTCGCTGCTCGTTGGACTCGATCGATTGACAGAGCCTCTGTCGCCGCTTGTTGGACTCGATCGATCGACAGAAGCTCGTTGCTCACTGCTCCTACAGGATCGACAAGTTAGTCTTCTTCTCTCTTCTTCTTCTCTTTTTTTCTTCTGTCTGTTAGTCTCCTTCCTCACCGATTCTAATATTTTTTTTTT